TTCCTGGAAACCATGTCATAATGCGGTTTGTCAAAATCTCTCAGAGGAACAGCATTTGGTCTCCGTAAGGGGTTCCGTTCCTGACTAAAGACGCAGCCAGAGATAAATCACAACTGTGATCAACAATCTGTCATAAGCAGAAGGCACCAGCGCCCAAATATCCTCAATGAGTTCTGCAGCTAAAATTATGCTCCAGTCTCACCATGAAACTATCACTTGACTGCACGTGAGGCCCTTTATATCACATTCATCCATTCACTCGTTCATAGACATGAAGGCTGGAGGAGTCACTGTGATTCACTCCGAACCTCATTGCCACTTCAGATGATTCATCTTCTAAGCCCACATTATGGGTCGTAGTCCCAGAAAAAGATGTGTTGATGTCCTAACCTCTACTGCCTTAGAATGTGACCTATTTGGAAATCGGGTCTTTGCAGAGATTGTCAAGCTAAAATGAGGTCATTAAGGTAGATCTTAATACAGTGTGACTGGTGCCCTTATAAAAAGGGGCAAATTGGAAGACATGCACAGAGGACAATGCTGTGAGGAGACACAGGGAGAAGGCCCCATGAAGACAGAGGTTTGGAATGATGCATCTACGGGCCAAGGAATGCCAAGGATGTCAGGCAAACCACCAGAAGCCAGGAAGAGGCAAGGAAGGATTCCTCTACAGTCCGAAGGGAACACAGCCCTGCTGCTAACTTGACTTCAGACTTCTGGCCTGTGAGATCATACATTTCTGTTGCTTTAAAGCTGCCCGGCATGCACCACTTTGTCTCGGCAGCCCTAGGGAACTAATGTGGCCGACCATGGCAATCCCACCCTCTTGGCTCAATCCTGGCCAAGGGGCAATAAGGGGAAGACTACTGGGCTGTGTCTGAGAAAGGTTCCACTTTTCCTTATGTGTGTGCCTGGATGTGACTCCAGGAATTGCTGTAGCCACTGTACCGGGAGCCTAAAAGGCAAAGCCCTCACAGAGGAAGGCAGGGAGTACGTGCACAGGACCCGGGACAAATGACCTGCTGAGTTGCCATTTGAGCCAATCCAGAGCATGGCCGGCCTCTGCGCATCCTGTCATGTGAGGTGATGCAGTTCCCTGAGGTTTAAGACAGAAGGTGAAGCAGAGTCCCTGCTGATACAAGTGTCCTCCATGTGGGGATCAGCTGTCACATGTGCTCCGCCCTTCTCCCTGCCCCCTCCTCGTGCTGAGTGGGGCTCCAGCCTCCTTCCAGCTGCTATCTGCATCTCGGCACTGACTGACTGTGGTAGATTGTTTGCAAAGATGGCTGTCATAGTTCCTCCTCGCCGCGCAGTTCCCAATCCTACTTGGCCACCCCACCAGTACGAGATGGTGTTCATCTTTCCATCCCTTAAATCCAGGCTTGACCACGTGACCTGCCCTGCCCTGCCCAATGGGAAATTAGCAAATGAGACTCGAGCAGAGGTTTCAGAAGCACTTGGGAAGTCCGGCATGCTCTGTGGGTTCCCAGGAGCAGTGGGAAGCCTGAGAGCCTGAGGCAGCCTGCTGGAAAGGCCATGTGGAGGAGAACTGAGGCTTTCCAGCCGACAGTCGCCACTAGCTGCCAGCACTGTGAATAAAGCTTTCTTGGATGAGCCAGCCTCAATCAACAGCGACGTGAATGATCCCAGGTGGGACCAAGAGAAGCACCACTGAGCTGAACCCAGCCTGAACTTCTGACCCACAGAACCACAAGCAAATAACATGGCTACTGTTTTAAGCTACTAAGTTTTGGGGTGATTTGTCAGCATAGCAATAGCTAACCAAGGCACTGGCAGATGATCCCCAATCTGGCACCATCCCCTCAGGTTCATTCACAGGCCAGGCACTGGGTGAGGCACTCTGGATACAATCATGAGAAAGAACAGACCTCATCTCTGGTCTTTTTTTTTTTTTAATTCTTTTTAAGTTTATCTATTTATGCTGGGAGAGAGAAGGAGAGACAGAATCCCAAGCAGGCTTCATGCCATCAGTGCAGAGGCTGACGCGGAGCTCAAACTCACCAACTGTGAGATCATGACCTGAGCTGAGAGCAAGAGTCGGACGCTTAACCGACTGCGCCAGCCAGGTGCCCCTGCTCTCTTTTAATATTAGCCCATGCCAGGCACTATGCCCAAGGTGTTAGATGTGTTGACCCAAGTGACAGTGTTAGTTATTACTACCACCTTACGGCTGAGGAAACCAAATCTCAGAGAAAGTAAAGAAATGGCCAGTTTTGCCAGATCGTATTTTCCAAAGGTGGCCACAGCGATGTCTGCCATCGGATATGCTCTCCGAGGACCTTGCTGCCCTCCCATCAGAGGGCAGAACATAATTCCCCTCTTGAATCCAGGCCGGCCTGTGATTTGATTATGAGCTAAGAGAATGGAGCAGGAGCCGCATCACATGACTTCCAAGGCAAGATCATGAAAGAAGCTACAGGAACTTTATGAGCTGGAGCACTTGCCTTTGAAGTCCTGAGCTTCTGTGCGAGGTTGCCATGCTCTGAGGAGCCCTGGGACACGCAGCGAGGCCCCGTGGGGGTGCCCCGTCTGACTACTCCCACTAGGACCCCGCCGACAGGCAACCCCTATCAAACTCCAGAAGATTCTAACCCCTCACTGTTGAGTCATCCCAGCCTTTGAATCTTCTCCCTTGAGGCCCGGACATTAGAAGTCAGACACAAGGTGTGCTCACTGCACCCTGTCCAAGGCACAGAGCGCAGGGACATAATACAGTGGGAGCTCTATGCCACAAAGACCGGGGATAGTTTGTTTTGCAACAATCATAATGAGGCACGTAAGTTTATCCAGCTGGATAGCAGGAAGGGGAATGAGGCTGGACTTTGAACCCTGGCAGTCCGACTCCAGAGCCCGAGCTCTTAACCACCACCCCTTCTACCTCGACGAGCCCTTCACTCCCATGCTCCTCAGCTTCCTCCCCAGAACAGAAGCATAGCTCCTCTGACACCACCCCGTCTTCCTGCAAAACCACCGCACTCCCCACCCCAAGGGCCACGAGGAAAGGAACAGGCTTGCTTCTCTCTCTGCTACGCCCAGGCCATCACAGCTCCATGTCAGTGCTCTCTCAGCCTTGAGCACACAGCCTTGATGACTGCAGTTCCTGTTTTGGGGGTTTGCTTTGCTCCCCATCGAAGGCCGTGTGAAAAGACACCGAAGTGAACCTACTATGGGTCAGGCACATGGCAGGGAGACAAAGTAGAAGGAGCTCTGCATTCACTCCTTATTGCTCTTTCACAAACTGCCACAAGCTTTGTGGATAAAACAACGCAAAGTTATTATCTCACAGTCCTGGAGGTCAGAAGCCTAAAATCAAGGTGTCTGCAGGACTGCTTTCCTTCGGAAGAGCCTAGGGGAGAAGCTGTTCCCTTCCTTATCCAGCTTCTAGAAGCTGTCTGCATTCCAGGCCTTGTGGCCCCTTCCTCCATTTTCAAAGCCAATAGCACAGCCTCTTCAAATCTCTCCAACAATCCTGACCCGCTCTTCCACTTAAAAGGACCCTTGTGATTACACTGGGCCCACCAGATTGTCCAGGAAAATCTCCCCATCTCAAGATTCTGAATCACATCTGCAAAGCCCCTCTTGTATGTAAGGTAACACATTCACAGGTTCTGGGGATTAGGACTTGGCTGTCTCTAGGAGGCCATCATTCCGCCCACCATGAGCTCTTGGGTGGAACCCCCTCCCTTGGGTGAGGTTATATGTTTATAGCAGAAACTGCCTCTTTTTCATTCGCCAATATTCATCTTTTCTTGCTAGACACCTGCGTCCTATGCATGACCATGCAGTTGAGTGCTGGCCAATGGGGTATAAGCAAAAGTGATAAAGTGTGGGGCATGATTGCAGGCCTGCCCCATACAAGCTCACCTACAGGCCCGGCCACAGAATCCCCTACAGGCTCCTATATTTCTCATCTATGAGCTAAGTGAAGATGACTCCAGAGACACATAGGAAGGTGGAGTCCAGGTCCCCGAATGACAGTAGAATAGTATTTCTGATGACCCACGTTGTATTCTGACATGAATTAAGACATTGACATTGAAGATTGTTGGTTACAGTGGTTAGCCCACACTGGCAATGTACAACCGCAGAACTGTACTTTAAAAGAATTGGTATAAATGCATTTCATAAATTTTATAAGGCGTTTGATTTTGTAAGTAAATATGCTATTTACTTATTACATCGATAAGTTGATCTCTGACACAGATCACAGTAACAAGGAGGTCACTTGAGAAACACACACACACACACACACACACAATCAGGGATTATGCCCCTCACAGCTGCAGGCAAGAAGAAAGAAATCTGACTTATTTCTGTTCCGTATGGACTGCACGATAGCAAGGAATCCTGATGAAAACACGTAACTGCAAACTGTAGCAACTATGTTTTAACCTCCTGTGATCTCCAGAAACGCTTCAATAAGCAGAGATCACCAGAAAATCTTGATTCTGAGACCAGGAACTAGTTCACTTGGCGACAAGTTCGTGTTTGCAGGGGAACTTGCCTGTCGATTCATTTATAGGTTGTTTCCTTTCAAAAGGAGAAAAGACCATTTACCCAAAACCCTACAGGACCAATAAAACCAAAACCAGGCAAACAATAACAAGAGCCCAGTGATCAAAAAACTGGAGCTAGGAATTTCATGGGCTGAGAAGCCAGGGAATGGGGGGCGGGGAGTGCGTGCACATACACACACGTGTGTGATGGGGAGCCAGGGGAAGAGGCGGTCAGTAAGTCTTCATGGTTTTGGAAACATAAGACCTTTTTTTCCAAAATGGTCCTTCTGGGCAAATGACTACAGAGTCCCACATCTAGATGGCCATGCAGCTGGCCAGAATAAAAGCTGAGGTTCCTGCAATTGTTTATCAGGGAACAGAGTCTGGGCCCCCCAGCCCTGGTGCGCACAAACATTGAAAGAGAAGTTGGGAAGAATCTGCAACCCCAGAGCACTTACTTCCAGACTATGTTCAGTTTCTTACCTGTGATACGTTACGGAAGATCGGTTCCATAGCCTCATCAGGATTGGGTGCAAGGTGGGCCCTGAGGAGCCCCTGTTCCCACTGGCATAAAAAGACATGAAACGTTCTGGAAGCCCAGGCAACAAGTGACCCAGCTGTGGAGCCCAGGACTGCAGCAGAAGGCAGCTTCTCCCGGACTGGCCCAGAAGGACCCACTGGGGGAAGAAGGACACTCTCATTGGCCACACACATATTCTGTGCCAAGCTCTATGCTCTGTTTTAACATATAGTTCAGTTAAATGACAACCCTGTATGGTAGATCCTTTTAATTCCCAATTTAGAGATGGGGGATTGAATCTTAGAATGATTAGAAAGTCAGCCCCAAGAGCACACAGACCTTCATGGCAGATGGCATTTCAGGGGAGCCGAGTTCTCACACATCTGCTGGGAGGGCTCCAGCACACAACTGTTGGATCCCTTTCCTCTGGACTTGGAGGCTCCGACTGAAATAGACCAGAGGAGGGAGGCACTGTGGCCCTCGGTGCCACAATTAAAGCTATAAATGTTACCAGGGGGTGAAACTGCTGACCTTGGCTGGTAGTGAGGGAAACAGCAAACTGCAAAGCCAGGGTACATGGTGTGCACAAGTGGCCCTCGCCCCCAGCACCAAGGTGGCAGGCACAATGTGCTCCCATCTTGCTCACCTCTTGGGCCTCATATTTCACGGGCTCAGTGACTGGGACAGCACGAGGGCCCTCAGAACACTCTGAACCACTCATTGTTTACACAACAGCCGCTGCTATGAGCTTCCCAGGGTTCATCCCTGTGTAACTACCCATGGTAGAAGCGGGGAGACTGAGTCACCAAGAGGTTTGTTCCTAAATCAGGATTCAGAGACTCGTGAGAGCTAGTAAACTGGTAGACCATGGTCCCCAAGCTTCTTCATCAGCTATCTGATGCGCTGACTGTGGGCGCACTTTAAGAAAGGTAGTAGCAGTCAGCATCGCCCATATCATGCTTGACTTTACTTCTGTGTGGGCGGTGCCTTTACCCTTGGACCAGGTAGGGTAGGTAAGCAGCGGGAGCTCCGGGCGCTGGGGGGAAGGGCTGGCGGTAGAAAGGGCTCTCCCCTACTCCTCATTTCTAGTGACATCTGCCAGAACAGACACCTCACTTACCCAGAATGGGGCCTTTCTCTTCCTTGGGACAGCAGATGCAGGTCTTCCTAAGCCCCAACCAACCAGCCTGTTAAGTTTTTGTTCGTGATGTGTTTGTTCTGTGACAGTGTGTGATTGTAAGTCACCTGTTCTTTCTAAGTGGCTTTGGTTGTTTGTTACCTGAGTCCCAGCAGTCCAACCAGCGTTCCATGGATGTTGAAACCCCTTCTGTTCTTTTCTATAATAAAGTTGTTGCCCAAATCCCTTTCCTCCCTATGCAATGTCAAGCCACGATGATTTTCAGAATGGCACTGAAGTGCACACACTTACAGTGGGAACTGACTTGAGGGCATTTTATTAGACTGGAGATTGAGAAGAATGTGGACTCTTCAGGGCACCTGAGTGGCTCAGTCGGTTGGATGTCCGACTTCAGCTTGGGTCGTGATCTCACAGTTCGTGAGTTTGAGCTCCATATCGGGCTCTGTGCTGTCAGCTCAGAGCCTGGAGCCTGCTTCAGATTCTGGGTCTCCCTCTCTCTCTACCCACCCCCCTCGCTCTCTCAAAAATAAACATCAAAATATAAAAAAAGAAATAAAAAGAATGTGGACTCTTCTACAGAACTCTGATTTGGGTACTTTATCATTTAAAAAATTTTTAAATAATTAAGTAGCATTCATACAGAAGTGGCTTTCTCCAGGTCCTTAATTCTTATTGTTGAATGTTTTATTTAGAAATATACTCAAATTGCTTACAGAAGGAGATGGGGCTGCTAGAAGAGAGAAGGAGGAGAGAAGAAACCAGCACAGGGTTGGCTGCAGGGGACCCAGAACATGTGTTAACTGCACCAGCGAATGGACAAATGAATGAATGAAATCGTCATTGAGCGGTGTATCCAAGTGGCCCATCCTTCCCTCCTGCAAAATCGCATCCAGGCATCCTATGTACTTCACTCAAATGCTCAGGCCTCAGGCCCATCTTGAGGAACGGGGGATGACCTGAGACCCAGGCCAGAGCAGTGGCCGATGGGAGCCAGAAGCCCCGAGGCACCCACCAGCCCCTTCCCCTCCTGGGCACCTGCTGGTTTATCAACCCTCTTCTCCAAGTGTTCCCTCCTGGGCTCCTCAGAGCTCTCCACCAAGCATCAGCATGGGGATCATTCCTGTTGTCTGCTGGGGGTCCTGGGCATGGAAGGCCACAGCTACCAGCCAGAGGAGGGCAGTCAGGTGGACCAGAGTGGTGAGGCCGCCCCAAGCTTGGGGAGCAGAGCAAGCTCCCCGAGAACATTCGCACACTTTGTTTCATCCTCCCACCAGGCAATGAAACTGTGTTGAGCTTTGACTTGTCAGTTACATTATGAGAATAATAAGAAAGCTGTATGTCCATCTTCAAATGCTACAGCCCTTCACCTCCGATTCTGGTAGCATCCCTGAGGGTCTGAGGCCCCCACTCCCCCTTCCCGCCCCCAGGTGAGCACTGCCCTTGATGATCAGAGGGCTGAGCCCCTCCTTGGGTGGCTGGGGCCACACAGCACACACTGCCTTTAGTGCCACACTGCATCCTGGTCCTAAGAGCTATGGGGTGGCAAAATCAGTAGAGCCATTTGGCCCCCCAACCCAGAGGCCCCTACTTTTTGGCTGCTGCTTACTGAAAAATTTGGGGAAAGAAGCAGTATGAAGATGGGTTAAAAGCATCAATCCTTAGTTAAACTCACAGACTACTCTCCTACCTAAAAACCTAGAGCATGAAGAAGTGATCTAAATGTTTTTTGGGGGTGAGGGGGCTCTCAAAATCTGCAAACTGCCAAGTTAGCCTAACTGACTGAGGGGCAGTGACCCCCAGGAGCCTTCAGAGGAGGGTAACTAGGATGGCTCTGACACATGAGGGACAGAAAAAAGGCATGGTAACATTCATCTGGAAAGCATGTGGGTGGCCACTATTTTCAAACCTCTGGGCAGCTCCAGTGGGGGACAGGAGTGTGCTTGTTCAGAGGGACCTTGCAAGTGAGGACAGTGAAAGAAGGCCACATGGCAGCAAGCTGAGGAAGAGCCAATAGTCAAGAGCCATCCAGAAGTGGGACAGGCTGGCCTGCATGGTAGTGAGTTCCCCACCCCTGGAGGTATCCAAATATTTATTCATTCATTTACTCTGTCAATATATACATGTCTTAAGGTCCAGCAATAACCTGAGTGCCAGACAGGCAAGGTTCCTGCTGTCAGGGAGCTTATATTTTAGTGAGGAAGACAACACAAATAAAAATCAAAAGCCCAAATATATATTTAGTAGGGAGTCATTTTAAAAAATAGGGTTATAAGCGAGTGTCTGCCAGTGTCTCCTTGGCATGGGGTGGTAGAGGTCAATATCAAGCAGAAGCAGAAGGGCCTCTTAGCAAGGCAGATGTTAAGGGAGAACCAGGTGCGGCTCTTTGAAACCCCTTCCATTCTGAGCCCAAGACCTCACCTTATACTACGTGCCCATTTGTTCACTAATGACTACTGAGCGGCTCCTCTCCAGAAGGCGGTATGGCTGAGGGAACCTTGAACAGAGCCCCCCCACCCCCGCTGTGTGGCTGGGGCCAGGGGGGAGCTCTGTTCAAGGTTCCTTCAGGAACCCTGGGGTGGTAGCTTCCCCTGTCTCCCCACTGCTACCTCCTCACATTCTGCCTGTTTCACCAGCTTGGTTGCATAATGCTGGGCCAGGATTTAGAGCCAGCACAGGATGGAGCTTGTAAATCTTCTCTCACATCATGAAATGCCAGCAATTTCACAGCCAGGGATTCCTGTTCTCATAAAGTCCCCACACCAGCAGACTCACATCTAAAAGCGTCCTCTGGGCTGATGGATTGATGTTGGAGCCCGTTCTGGAGTCAAACACGGGGGCAGGCGGCCTCCGCCACCTGCTTGGCAACTCTGAAGCCCCCAGAAGGGAAGGTCATGATTAGCAGGCCAGATCGCTGGGGCTCTGCCTGCAAAGCAACCCTCAAACATGGCGTCCTGAGGAGTAGAGGAACAGAAATGGTGGCTTCGCACTGGGAACTAAGACCACATTGGTGTTCAAGATGATTTGAGGGGAAAAATATGTCTGAGCAATATGCAAAGTTGTCATCCACATGGGGACACATCACTTACATTTAAATTTTTTAAATCTTTTTTTAATTTTATTTTTGAGAGAGAGAGAGAGAGAGAGAGCAGAGTGTGAATGGGGAAGGGGCAGAGAGAGAGGGAGACACAGAAAACAAAGCAGGCTCCAGGCTCTGAGCTGTGAGCACAGAGCCTGATGTGGGGCTCTAACTCACAGACTGTGAGATCACGACCTGAGCCCAAGTCAGACACCCAACTGACTGAAGCCACCCAGGCACCCCCAAATTTGCAGTTCCCACCCACGGAGTTCCTGCCTACAGAGGCTCTAACCCAGTAGAGTCTAGAATCTAGAAAGGAGCTCCTGCATTCACATGTTCCACAGGGAAAGATTCGACACTTAGTTCATAAGAAAAACCACAAAGGAACAAGAAGGACAATGTGGCAGCCTTCCAAGATGGCCCCCAATGATCCCCAGTTCCTGGTATTTATGTGCTTATATAATCCCCTCCCCTTAGAGAGGGCTAGATCTAGTGACTCACCTCTATGAACAGAACAAGGTAGAAAATGATGGAATGTCACTTTCAAGACTGCGTTACATAAAGACTGTGACATCTATTTGAGTTCCCCCTCTTTCTCTTGCCCTCAGAGAAGCCTGCCGCCATGTAGCCAGGCACCCTGTGGAGAGACTCATATAGGAAGGAAGTGATGTCTTCCACCTGTAGCCAGCGAGGTCTAGAGGCCTGACAGCAGCCCATGTGTGAACTTGGAAACACATTCTCTCCCAGTCGGATCTTTAGACAACTACCCCACTGACACCTTGATCCCAGCCTTGTGACTGATCCTGACATTAAGCACCCAGAAAGGTACTCCCAGATTCCTGATCCACAGAAACTTTCAGATAGTAAATGTGGGCTGTTGGAAGCTATTACGTTTTGGGGATAATTTGTTATGCAGCAATAGATAACCAATACAGACATATGTAACAAAACGTTAATAGTGGTTTATGTCTGAGTGGTGGGATTATGAGGGATTTGTATTTTCTTCCATTTGCTTATCTAGATTTTCTGACTTTTTATATTCCATGAATCACATCCAAAATGAAAAAATGAAAACTTTTCAGATTATATCCAAAAAGACTTCTGGAGGAAAACATAGGAGAAAACCTTTGTGAACTTACACAAGGCAAAGGTTTCCAAGATGAGTCACCAAAAAAAGGGGACACTCATAAAAAGATAAATTGGACTTTATCAAAATTCAAAACTATTGTTC